TCTGATTACTAGACCACGGAGGCGGTCCCGGGTTAACTCACATGAACAAAATAAAAGAATCTGGACGGGGGTCGTACGATTGCAAATCTATTTAATACAATTCCTCAATGAACACTCCATGTATTTGTGTATTTATGATCCAACGCACAAATCGAAATTTACGTTGCGTAATACTAAACAGAAGGTTTATACATATTTTTGAGGGTTGTTTTCTTAATTTATTTTCTTTCCTTCACAGTAGCCAGTTAAACTACTCTGTGCGCGTATTTCATTGACAGTGGAATGTAATTATTTCCCCTTCCGTTAAGCATGCTGCTTCTGGCATAAACTTCTTGAGACAGTGCAGCTCAATATTCTGTCAGGCGCAACGAACTTAGAAGCTGACTGTATTCTGTTATTTGTTTAGCTTTTCAAACTGTTGTCGTTTATTAAAGTCTAAGGTAACACTTTTAAAAATGCGCGATGAGAGTCACTGAGAGTGTCATTAACGTAAACTTTCCTGTTGGTTAGAACTAAGTTGTGAAACCGCATGCGTTCTTAACATTGGCTCAAGTCACAAGGGAGTGGTGGGCTTCAAGCTCCGTCTGTCTTCTCTTGTTACTGAATTGGAGGCTTCAGAAGTGCTCTCGAGGCGGTAAGAAGCAGAATAATTACGAAAGCCCAATGACGATTATGAGGATTTGAACCTCGAGCATTTACTCTACACCCCGTCACTTTACTGAGTGACCTCTGACGGCTCACAATTAGCAAGACTTTCGTGATACTTTAAGAACTTACTGGGGCATATCCATCAGTAATTAACTTATATGGCATGTACTGTCTTCGCTCGCTTGGATACCGGGATTGTGGGTTCGAATCCCACTTGTGGCATGGATGTTTATTTTGTGTGTGTGCGTTTTTCTGTGTTTGTGTACAGGTAGAGGCCTTGCGACGAGCTGATCACCCGCCCAAGGAGTCCTACCGAATGTGTAAGATCTAGAAAAACCGAAGTGAACGGAGAAGTTCATGGAGGTACGCCTAGGCCCACTGGGGCTCTAGTGCCAAGGAAAAAAAAAACTTGTATTTCACAAATTTCGCTGCGAAACTCTCTAGGTCGGTTAGCTGTTGCGTAGTGTGTAGCACTGTAACAGCAATGAACCGTTAGCACAATAGAGTCTGAAGAGTTCTGACGATGATATATAACACTCAGAATTACTGTTTTTTTTTTTACTTTGTCGAATGTCAGGCATCCTATAAACTAGCAAACAGAACGTTTCAGAAAATGGATCTGTTTCCGTCCTCAGGTGAAGGAAAAANGACATGTCAGTCACTGGACAACGCAGTGTTTTCTAGTTTCTAGAATACCGGACGCTGGACAAAGTCCAAAAACCCAGATATTCTGATCGTTAGCATGATACACGTATGTACGTAAAGGGAAATGCAAGATGAATGAACAAATTCTGTCGAATGAAGTGCGTTCAGTTATTCAGAGAAATGGAACGTTGCTTCTTGTATGAACAAGAGAACGGGAACTGACGTTTCACTGAGTTTATTCGCCTTCCATTAAACATGTAATCAGGCTGTAATGGTCTAGACAAGGAGGTACTCAGCTGGAATTGCGGTTAGTATATCGGTTCTTCCTTTATTTCTTCACGTTCCCCAGACGAATAATTGGGCAATATTTTCAAACAGGCCACGACCGTCGTCTTCTAAATAATTTATCATAAATTTTGTGGATCTCTTAGAAGTTAAAAATTCATATTACAGTGTTCTGGGATCTGGCAACATGCTACTTCAGAGGACCATAATGCCTCCTTCTTGAGGGTAGGAGTATCAATTTTTTGAATGTGGCTGATTATGTAGAACTGGTAGCGGAGGGTAGTAGTGTCGAGTCACAGCCAAAGACGATGAATCTTAAAAATCTTCTATATAAAATCTACGCAAAGGCAACGCTATACAAGAATCCGAGCCGGAAGCAGGGACTCCGTCTCGTCACTTCCGTCGCTGGCCTTGATTGGCCACCTCTGTCCCCCTGACCCATTTCCCAACTTGTATCTCTTCTACCCAGGAGACTGCAGCAGTATACATCCCTTATTTCCGTAACTTTGATGCACACAGAGGGTCAGTGCAGTTGAAAAGTGTCGTCTTGAAACGAGTAAGTCGAGTAATCATTTTAAATAAATCGAGTACATGTGTAGACTGGATTCAGTTGGCTCAGCATAGGTTTCAGTGAGGGACTCTTGTTTCGGCCATAGCAGTGAAGCTTGTTTTAGTAGGAATCAGAAACATTTCTTCCCATCCTGGACGACATGTGAAGGGAGGAGGGGGGGGGCGCTGCAGGGTCAGTCCTCAGCGCAGAATGCCAAAAATGTAAGAAGAAAATGTTTACACTATTCAGTTACAAATAAGAAATGTTGATAATGAGAAGTCTGTAGTTCTGTGTACACGAGATAAATACAAATTATCCAGTTAAATAGACTTGGATATTTAGGCAGCTGGTATTATTATTAGAGGGGGTGGGTTTCCCCATGCACTTAGACCAGTCATTGGTCCATTGTGCGTCCCCCTTTAATTTCTACTGTCTCCATACCCTACCCGTACTGGTGCGTGCTATCAGCCCCGTTCAGCCAACAAGGTCGGCCGTCGGTACCTGATATTTCCCCCATCTACCAGAGGCATTGGAAACTACTTGGGCGGGAAATTGTTGCCTAATTTTGCTCAGAGGTC